ACTAGACCATAATAAAACCCATGGTGTGGAGGGGAAGGGCGTTACTCATAATGACCCCCTTCCATCACAGATGTATCTTGTGGTATGAGACTCATGTTCCCAGCATGGGTACCAAGGGCCCAAAACTTGCACTCCTTTTATAGCACAACCTTCCCGTGCCCCAGTATTCCCCCCACCCCCAATAGCAAGTATTAATTAATATCCCAGGACTCTGGATCACTTGCATTCACAGCCCTGGCAATGACCCACATGCTGGCTAATGGCCATGCCTTATCTACCTGCAGAGCAGTGCATCTAGGAGTTTAGTGCTGATGAAAGATCGTAAGTGGTGATTTAAGTCCTTTGATTATCCGCAGAGTCGGTGCAGCAGCAGGGCAAGCTTCCCACATGCCACTGTCCCAACAATGAGCCTCAGCCCCTGGCTGGAAAGAGCCTCCCTGTAAAGCTGGGGTAGGATCCCCATGGTCCATCAAGACCTCGACCTCTCTCAGCAACAAGGGAACGGGTTGTAGTGGTGGTTTTACCACCTGGACAGCGGCCCACTAACGCTAGACTTGAGACCACCTTCGGCAATGCAAACTCCCCTCCTAACTCCAGTCCACCACTGCCCCAGTGGGGACCCACTCTTTCTGTGGAAGCTGGGCAGCCTATGGCAGCTGCCTTATTGCCACGCTGGAATCAAAGGGATGGCTGCCCTCTAGGGATGATCTAGATCAAGGGTGGGCAAACTTTTTGGCCTGAGGCCCACGTCTGGGTATGGAAATTGTATGGCAGGCCATGAGTGAAGAGCTGTGACAGCAATGTGTTTTTTTAAATCAGACAAGACACACTGTGCCGGGGCGTAGCCACAGGTGGCCATGGCCCACTCACTTATCCTCCAGCGCAGGCCCACCCCATCACTTGCCCCACTCCGCCACCTGGTGCTCCAGCCGGGGAGCAAGGTCAGGGCGCCGGAGCAGGGCAAGTCCCCAACCCCGCTCCTGGCCGGAGCAAGGCAGTGGAACTCGAGGGCCAGATTAAAGGCTCTGACAGGCCAGATGCAAGGCTCTGACAGGCCAGACGCGGGCTGTAGTTTGCCCACCCCTGATCTACCCGGCACCTGGGTCTCTCCTGTTCTCTGCCTCAGGCACACCCCCATTTGGCCTCCCAAAGACTGAAATGCTTTAGTCAAATGCAAATTATTGGGCTCTAGTGGATGAAAGCTTACGGCCTTTGATATACAGGAAGACCAATTAAATGATCTAATAATTCTAGGGTGTGGACTAAGCCACACACAGGTCACCAAGCAGCCATGAGATGGTCATGCTTCATTGTGGCCCTGCTCAAAGCCCAGAACTTGTCTGTATGGAAAGCTCCAAGCTGGGGCTAAGGCCTGAAGATGCTAACCAAGGGCATTAAGTATTACAAGATGCAGTTCACGAAGAGTCTACCCAACTGAGCTCTACCCTGATGCGCTGACCCGCTCTGTGCCATCTTGCCACGGGTACAAGCCCTAACGGTGCCAGCCCCATGCCAGCTTCCCATTCCAGGTACTCAAATGGCTCTGTGGCTATGTTGGTGGTTGTTTATTTCTCGTGTTGACACTCCTGCTGAAACGGGAGCCGCGGGCACTTTGATAAATGCATTGAAAGGGCTGATCCTCTGCCAACCCCTCCTCTAAGTGCATCATTGATGCTATCGTGTGCTGCTCCTCACGGCAAGATCCCCTCCCTCAGTCAAAGGAAAGATTCCTCAGCCGCCTACGGAGGAGCGTCCTCGAGGACTCCGGCAGGGCAGCTGGGGAACACACAGAAATGTTTACAGGAGCACACTTAAAAGCACTTGGTTGGGATGAAAAGGAGAGCAGGAGAGTCAGGAAATGACATCTCTTCCCTAAGGGAATCTAAACTTTACCAGCAAGCTCCTGCTCTCATTTACATGACAGTAACTGTTCTGGAATCACTCCAGATTCACACCAGCAGAATCCAGCCCTCTTTTGGGTTCCAGGACCATCATATGTGGGCTTGGCATTATAAATGACCGTCCGCCCAGCTGTGTTTTCATCCCACCAGTTCTGAGCCTCATGCTCAGGGACTAGATGACAGGTGTAAACCCGCCAATGGATGTAACCCCTGAGAATACATCTACACTGCAAAAAACACCTGCAGGCAGCAAGTCTCAGAGCTGGGGCTACAGGCTCAAGTTCGCAGGCCAAGCATAGCCTGCAGCCATTTGAACTCAGGCTCTGAAACCCACCCTGGAGGGACCTACTGGGGGCAGCAGATGTCCCCAGGTGGGTCTGTCACCAGCAGGGTCCCTCCTCACCCCCACCACTCCAGGTGCTGTACATATCATACCCAGGTTATACATATCCCCGATCCTTGCAGTCTTCATGCGAGATTCCAGGCAAGACTAACAGAAGACAGGGAGGCCCACTAGACAACTCCCAAACTATTTAAAGGTGTACTACCGAATTCCTATACACTACAGAAACTAGGCTCTAGTAACGTACACAGACCCAGGACCTACAATAAGTGACAACCTCATCCCTACCACGCTGGGGTCTCCAATGCTGTTGCTAAGAAAGACCAGTCCCCTGCAACCTTGGGGTTTTGCAGCCAATGAGAATAGTGCTTGGGACATGGCAAACCTAGACTTTCACAGGGCCACTGACAGCACAAGCAGGCATGCTCGGGATGGATGTCCCTCCAGATCACTCCATGCTGGACAGCCTGCAGCTGATTCCAAGAGTGAGCCCAACATGGGAATTAAATCTTCCCACAATTGGTTAAACACATTAGCGCCAGCAAAATGCCCCAAGCCGCTTTGCAAGGTCTGTCAACCCCTGTCCCACAGAATTCCCAACAAGGAACAGCACTGCCCACCAGAGAGCCATCAACAAACAGATAACAGGGAGCTGTCGAGGCATGGATGCCCACAGGATGCCGCCATGAGAACACGTCTAACCCTCATCATCACATTCTGAAGGGAGGAAGGTTTCACCTTATGCCAAATCTCCATGCCTGCCTATGGTGTGTACTTGTGTCCCATCCCCCTTCCAGCTGGCCTGCCAACTCTGGGATAATAGCCCTACTTCTGCTGGTAGCTAATGGAGTTACTCCTAGAGCTCACCTAAAGGAGGTCTGCACTGCAGTGCCAGAAGTCCCTGATTCAAACCCAGTGGATGGCCCAGGCTGCTGGTCATTACAGCACGCTACCTCTTTAGCTGAATCTACATTTAGGGCCTGATCCTGCTCCAATTTAAGTCAACAAAGAAAGAATCCACATCCACCATGGCTGGGATCGGAGACCGAGCTATGCTACTGCCCATCACCAGGCTCCTGGTGGAGAGATTGCTGTTGGATTTCAGGAGGAGAATGAGGCTCAAACCCAACCCTCCCTACTTTCAAACAACAGCTGGAAGCCCAGGGCCCGATTTTGCTCTCCATTGCACTGGTGTGACTCAGCAGAGCTACCCCACTGCAAAGGGAGAGGAAATCAGACCCACAGCGGCCGCTCTTTACCATGCAACCCCTATCCGGTTCGTTGTTCTCTTCAGGATCGGGACGGACACTGTTTCTGTGACTCCACAAGCGGATTGCTGAGCAGGGGGAAGGCCTCTCCAAGCAGCAGCATTTACCCTCAATCAAAGTAGCCACCAAAAAAATAAAGCCAATGAAGGACCAAATCCAGCCCATAAAACCCAGGAGCTCGGAGTTCCTGCCCTCACCCTCTGGTCACAGCAGCCTGCCCTGGGCAATCGGAGCACCCGATCCTGCCCGTTGCTCTGCACAGCGGGGCACAGCAGCTCACAGGATCTGGGCCTTACTTTGGGGACCTCCTCCAGGAATTGCTGGGGTCCAAGCTCAGGCTCCTCAGTGCTTGTGTGTCACCCTCCGTCAGAGAGACTGCAAGCACTGCACAGATGTACTCATTTCGCCTCGCCGCCCACGGGGCAGAGCAGTAGCACCACCCCTTTTTACAGGTGGGGAAACCGAGGCACAGACCCACGTTTTCCGCAAGGGCCTCTCATTCTGCATGCTCCAAGTCTGGAGATACTCTGCAGGGCACCCCCGCTAGGGCACCCCCTCTAGGGCACCCCTAGCTCCAAGAAAGTCCAACAGGGGCTCAGCGACCCCAGGATCGGGCAGTCACCTGGGGGAAATGCTGAGTGGCTCAACATCCAGAAACCCCTGGCTGGCAATGAGGAGAATCGGGACCCGATGTAACTATTTACAATCGCTCGGGCAGCGGGAGCGGCTGGTGGCTGCCTGGGGGGGAACTCCCAGCGGACCGGGCCAGGACCCCCCAGCCCAGCGCTAACTCCCCAGGCGTGTCTGCGAGGGAGAGTCACTCCCACACCAGGAAGCCCTGCAAACTTGGAGGGGGGGCCGTTGCCCTGCTCCCTCCGTTTAAATCTCCAGGGGCTGGGGGGGGTCTTACTTCCCTCCCCAGCAGGCAGATGACTGAGCCCAGCAAGTTTCTGCGGCTCGGGGAGACACGCCCCCCACAGGACGCCCCCAAGTCGCCCGCTCCCCCCTACAACAACTTCCCCCTCCCCCCGCTTGCGGGGCGTCTGCACCTCGAACCTGCCCGGGCTCCGCTCGCCCCCAGCCGGCCCGTTTGCAGCCCCGGTAGCCCCCACGGGGCGGGAGGGGGGGGGGGGAAGGAGCCACCAGCGACCTCCACCAGGAGCCCGGCGAGATTCCGCCCCAGCAGCAGCGAATCGAGAGCGAGCTGCTGAGCCAGGTCCCCGGCGGGGCCCGGACGCCCCCCAGGAAAGCGGGGGGGGGGGGGCCGCAAAGTCCGCCCCCAGCCCACGCCCAGGCAGGGACGAGCCCTTGCAAAGCGGGCGACTAACTGTTGCTCGATGGCGCGCACTAGCCGCCAGGCTGGGCTCGCTCGCCAGGATCCAGCTGCAGCCTTGTGTGCCCCCCCCCGCACGGGCGGATGGCAAAGCAGCCAGCCCCCCCCCCCCATCCTCCTCCCCCAGCAGCCAGCAATAGCCCCGGTCCTCTTACCTTGCCGGGGAGCCGCTCCTCGCGGGGCTACATCCTTAGCTCCAGCTTCCTCCAGCGCTTTTGCGTCTCCTCCTTCTCCTCCTCCGGATTTTTTTGCTTCCTGCTGAGGATCCCGCCCCCCCCCCTCCTCCTCCTGCTCCTGCACACCCCCGCCCCGGAGAATAAATCAGCCGCGATCTCCCCAGCGAGTCGGCGCCGGAGCCCGGCTGGGCTGGGCAAGGGGATGCGGGAGGGGTCCGGAGACCAGCGGCTTCCTCCCCAGCCCCGCACTGCAGATCTAGGGGGGCTAATGAGACGGACACGCCGGTGTCTCCTTTACTCCCGGACACCCGGGGAGCGGCGCGGGGGAAGATGTGGAGGTGGATTTCCCCGGGAACCTGCGGGGGGGGGGGGTTGCAGCCTCGCGCAGACACAAAAGCCTCCCCCGCCCCCGCCCCCGCCCCCTCCCGGGCTCCCCGGGCTCCTTGGGGCTTTGCAGGGAGGGTGCAAGATGGTCTCAGCACAGGGGGCTTTTCGGTGCCCCCCCCCGCCGCCGCCCCAATCCAGGCGGCTCGCTCCCTCGCTCTCCAGCCCGGCTGGGCCCGGCAAGGGGGGGCCCGGGCGCGCCCCGGGGACCCCAGCTCGGGGCGTGCGGGGACCTTAGGCGCGGGGACCCAGCCCCTTTCCGCTTCGTGACACAATAGCCGGGGAAACGCCAACGCGGAGCGCGAGAGAGACGCGAGCCCCGGGCGAGCTGCGGCGAGCTGGGGCGAGCCCCACGCCCCCGGCTCCGGCCGGGCAGGGCCAGCTGCCCGAGCGCGCCGGGGGCCGGGGGGCGCCGCGGGGGGAGACTCTGGCTCCCCCCCGCAGCGAAGGAGCGATGTCAGCGCCAGGCGTAACCAGGCCCACGCAGCACACGGCTGTCCTGAGTTTGCCAGGTCTCCTTCCACTGCAGGGAAGCTGGAATGCGCTCCTGGCCTTCCCGGAGGTTTCTAAAGTTTTGCCAATTTTAAATTAGCGCAGGCCTGACCCACAACCCCCAGGCTATCCGTGTCTCTCCCCCAGTGCCCCTTCCTCCTGACCCACAGCCCTGCCCCCTTCCCCTGCGCAGGCACACACAGCTCTTCTGATCCTCCCCCCGCATCCCACTCCTGCTACCCAAAGATCATCCCCAGCTGAGTGGGGGTTTTGTGAGCTGGAAAATGTTCTGCCAGGAACAAGGCTGAGGCTCCCAAACTCATCTCACCAATCACTGGAATCTGGCTGTGGCAGGCAGCCTCTAGGGGGACAGTCTGGTGCATAGGAGGCCTCTCTGGGGCCGTGGTTATGGGCCCAGGACAGCAAAGGCAACAGTGCTTAAAATGGGGGAGGCAGGGAGGGAGGAGTTGGCCTCACCCGCATTGGAATGAAGCAGCCATGGGCCAGCAAGGTGCCGGTTGTTGGGTTCTTCCTTTGGGAGCATGGCCCCAGCAGGGCTGAATCTGCCCCACAAAGAGATTCCCTCCAGCCCTGCAGGAGCCAGCTGGTGGGTGCACTGCGGCCTGCACTGTCTGCTGCATTCTGCTCACCGGGCACCCTTTGCTGGGGGAGACCTTCCCACAGGACAGCGTTGAAAGCAGCATGCGTGTGCACACTTGTGTGGCTGTACCTGAGTGTTTGCACGTGTGAGGTGGCGGGGGGGGGGCGAGCGCTCACACCACTATCCACATGTGCCGGGGTGTGTGCGTGCACAAGTGTATGGGGGAACGTGCCGGTGCAGTTTATGCAAGTGTGTGTGAATGCACGCCAGTGTAGGTGTGACTGTCTGAGTGTGTGTGAATGCACGCCAGTGTAGGTGTGACTGTGTCTGAGTGTGTGTGAATGCACGCCAGTGTAGGTGTGTCTGAGTGTGTGTGAATGCATGCCAGTGTAGGTGTGACTGTGTCTGAGTGTGTGTGAATGCACGCCAGTGTAGGTGTGACTGTCTGAGTGTGTGTGAATGCACACCACTGTAGGTGTGACTGTGTCTGAGTGTGTGTGAATGCACGAGTGTGTGCGCCAGTGCTGAGTGTGTGTGAATGACAGTGTGTCTGTGTGTGTGTGTGTGAATGCACGCCAGTGTAGGTGTGACTGAGTGTGTGTGAATGCACACCAGTGTAGGTGTGACTGTCTGAGTGTGTGTGAATGCACGCCAGTGTAGGTGTGACTGTGTCTGAGTGTGTGTGAATGCACGCCAGTGTAGGTGTGACTGAGTGTGTGTGAATGCACGCCGGTGTAGGTGTGACTGTCTGAGTGTGCGTGTGCGCACGTGTGAATGAGTGAGTGCTTGTAGGAGGATGTGTGTAATTGTCTCTGTGTATTTGAGAGGGGAATTTCACATGGGTGCCTGTGACACCTCACCCTCACCACAATGAGCCACCTTCCCCCGGACCCTGCTCCTGGCTCACCATGTCCCACTGTCACCGATCCATTCCGGCATTTCGGAGCCATCTCCCCAAGGCAGCGGAGAGAGGTGGTCTCCTATCTCCCCTTGCTGACACCCCCCACCCCTCATCAGCGCGGGGTGATGCTGCATGGTGCGATTTCACTGCATTTTCACAGTAAAACTGTAACTAAAGCTGCCAGCTTGGGCTGGACGTATTCCTGGAGGTTTCATCACATGACATAATCTTTAATTAAAGGTTCCTCTTTAACTCCTGGACCATCCTGGAGGGTTGGTGACCTTAGCTGCAACACAGTCATGGATTATTTCCCTGCTTCGCTAAAACGAGTCAAGAGACGCTGGCGTGGGGAGCTGGAGCCTACCTCCCTCAAGAGGTGACCGTAACAGTAGGCCACGTACTGCCACCTGCCAGTGTTACCTCTGGAAGCTCGCTGTGTTAAGCGTTATGGAGCCTGCAGTTCTCTAGGCGCTGTCCCTGGTAAAGCAGCTGTGGTTCGCTATGTCACACTGCTCCTGGCTCATGCTAGCAGGGGAGCAATAACGACTCCATGTCTGGGACATATCTCCAGCCTTCTGTAACTCAGGGCTCTCCTAGCGTTTGAGAAAACGATCTGGGACTAGCCCAGGAGCGAGGAGTGTAACTGGCCCTGCCATCGGGTTCTGCAATAACGACTCAGTCTGCCTTCTCCCAGATCAATGCAGAGCCCGTGACACAGCAAGGAGATTCCTTTCTGCCCTTCACACGTCAAAGCCCCGCACCATATGCAGCCTAATTCACTAATCATCATAATTACAGCAAGCACCAGTTAGAAGTGCAATAAAATAATAAACTGGTTCATGCCTCCCTGTGGGCCCAGTGGAGGAAACGCACAGGGATCAGTGCCTGCCCTTCGCCTGGGTTTTTGCTGGCTTCTTGGGTTGCTCTCAGAGCACTGAAGCCCTATTGCTGTTATAATAATAGGGCAAATTGTGCAGACTCTGGTCCCCCAGGAAAAAGAAAAGGAGTACTTGTGGCACCTTAGAGACTAACCAATTTATTTGAGCATGAGCTTTCGTGAGCTACAGCTCACTTCATCAGCTGTAGCTCATGAAAGCTCATGCTCAAATAAATTGGTTAGTCTCTAAGGTGCTCACAAGTACTCCTTTTCTTTTTGCGAATACAGACTAACACGGCTGTTCCTCTGGTCCCCCAGGGTAAGCCAAAGAAAATCCCTCTCTATTCAGTGGTGGCTAGATGACTTTAACAGGGGCTCGGCCAGGAACGGTTCACATCATTTCTCCTTTCATTTGCTGGCGTTTAGAATAAACCATGTGGAAGATTAATGCTGTAATAGGCTGCCTTTGCCTTGGGTTTTGTTGGTTTGTTGTCGTAGGGTCACTGGTGAGGGCTGCATATGTTGGTGTGTTTGTGTAGAGGTTGCTTTGCACACAGGCTGTTATTGTAGGGTCACTGCATGAGTGCTGTGTATATTGGTTTGTTACTTTAGGGCCACTTATAAATACTGGGCAAGCTGGTTATTGTAGGCTTGCCTGAGAGCGCAGGTATGTTAGTGTAGGGATGCTGTGAAGGCTGGCGTGTTATTGTAGGGTTGCCATTGGTTTGGAGGAAGCATTAACACAGAGACAAGATGATGCGGACTTTGCAAACTGATCAAAAGGTAAAACAGGCAGGGCCGCCGTGGGGCCGTTCCAGCCTCCGGTTAGCTTCCATGGCGGGAGGTGGCTGGGTCCCGGCCTATTCGTTTTCCTTCCATCTGCCACTTCCAGCTCAGTGCACATGGCCCTGGCAGTCACCCAGGGACGTGGAGCAGGCCGGAGGGCGGCACGTGAGGCCCTGCACTCTCACATTTCCCCTGTTCTATCGATCTGGATTGCTTCTGTAATTCACAGAGTGTCCTGAGACCTCCCACCACTCGACAGAGCCCAGTGCACAAACTGCGCCCCGAGCAGCGACAGCCCCTTCCCTAACACCCAAACCAGGGCACATCTGGCAGGGACTCCATTGCTTTGCCCTCCCACTGACCCCCTCAGAGGGTCATGATGGTGGATTCTTGTGGCCCCCCTAGGCCCCAGTGGGCCAGCTCCTTAGCTGCTATGAGCAGGGCTGGAGGGGGGGGAAGGCGGCTCAGCCTTCTGGCCTTTCACCTCCGCAGATGTAAATTCCAAGCTTAAATTAGGTAAAAGAGGAGCTTTCTGAGCTCAGCCTAATGCATGCTGAATGCTTCTCCCAGCTCCCTCCCCCGTGCACCAGAGACTCCCCAGGCTGGAGCTTGGCGTAGCTTGGAGAGGGGCGGTGCTGGAGAACTACAGGGGCTGGCTGAGGGAGCAAGGGGCACCCCCGTGCTGCAGACCGAGCGAGGAGTGCTGGAGTCCGCTGCCGGCCCTCCCTCGCTGTCTGCGGCCCCAGCCTCCGCCCAGAGAGGGGCTGCTTCTCTTTCTCTGTTACAGCATTGACCTCCGCAGCCAAGAGAAATCATTCCAGGAACTGCAGCCAGCCTCCTTCCTCCTTCCTCCCTCGCCCTGGCCTCTGCATGCACAGGGCTCCTGCAATTAGCCAGATGCCTCGAGGTGGACCTTTTCCCCACCCCCCAAGTGCAGGCAGAGGAGAGCCACCCGCCCCTGCTTATCACCTCACCCCAGCACCGGGGATCCAGCCTTCAGCCCAGGAAGTTCTTGTCAGTGCTGGTTACGAGCACCCAGGTGAGATCAGGCC